CTGTCAGATTCACACCCTCAGGGGCCAATTACGTGGCCCTGTTCCTTCTCCATGAGAATAGAAAATGTCCCTACTAAGCTCTGCAGCAGGAAACCACGAACTTTAGATGCCTTACTTCGAGGCTGCCAGGCAGCCACACACACAGCTAAGCGTCACAAGTGCCTCTTGTGTTGTCATGCCGACAGCAACAATAACAGAAACCGAGGTACCTGGGTCTCTTCCAAGGTGAGGCCAGGGCCTGCAGCGCCCACAGCTGCCATCTCCTATCAGCTGGGAGCACCACAGGTGGACGAGCCGCGGGAACTGTTTTAAGTAAACATATTTGGGACATTTTTTAGCAAGACCTAAATTTAGCAAGCCAACTTACGTTTTGGAATCTGAGACCAAAATAATAGCCATTCCTCAGGTCTGTCTATCCCACAGTCCCCAGGTCCTGTGACAGTCTGGTAAATCAAAACTGGCTCGAGGTGCTTTCCCATACGTTTTGCCTCTTGCTGTGGGCAGACACCTGAGAGCATAGTCTCACAGGAGCTCGGGGCTCCAGACTATCCCAGAGTCACTTTCCACCCTGTTTCTGGCTTCCGCAATGTGGGAGAGAGAGAATGCATGTTTGTTTTTTTAACAGGAACTTCTGTTTGCTTTGCTATAATACATAAAATATTGTATATTGTCTTCAACAGCTAATCTAATACTTTGATAATACTTATCATTTATTAAATACTACTGTTATATGTGAGATATCTTAAGTGACATTTCCAATGAGGTAGCTTATTTCTATATTGTCTACAATATATTTTAGAGAATATAACTTTTTTTTTTAAGATTTATTTTAGGCTGGCGCTGTGGCTCAATAGGCTAATTCTCCACCTAGCAGCGCCAGCACACCGGGTTCTAGTCCCGGTCGGGGCACCGGATTCTTTCCCGGTTGCCCCTCTTCCAGGCCAGCTCTCTGCTATGGCCCGGGAGTGCAGTGGAGGATGGCCCAAGTGCTTGGGCCCTGCACCCCATGGGAGACCAGGAGAAGCACCTGGCTCCTGCCTTCGGATCAGTGCGGTGCACCGGCTGCAGCGCGCTGGCTGCGGCGGCCATTGGAGGGTGAACCAACGGCAAAAGGAAGACCTTTCTCTCTGTTTCTCTCTCACTATCTACTCTGCCTGTCAAAAAAAAAAAAAAGATTTATTTTATTTATTTGAAAGACAGAGTTACAGAGAGAGGTAGAGACAGAGACAGGTCTTCCATCCGCTGGTTCACTCCCCAGATGGCCACAATGGCCAGAACTGCACTGATCCAAAGCCAGGAGCTAGGAGTTTCTTGCAGGTCTCCCACAAGTCCTTGGGCCCTTTACTACTGCTTTCCCAGGTCATAGCTGAGAGCTGGATCCGAAGCGTAGCAGCTGGAACTCAAACCAGCATCCATGTGGGATGCTTCAGGCCATGGCATTAACCCACTGTGCCACAGCGCTGGCTCTGAGAATATAACTTCTTAATTATGGCCTAGTCAATTATTAGAAGATCTAAGTTTTAAATGGAGATCAGTATGATGCCAAATTTGTTTTTCTCATCTTACCTTGTTTTGATAATCAATAGAATTTGTTTTTAGAGCAGGTTTAGGCTAACTGAACTGACCAGGAAGTGCAGAGTCCCCGTATGCTCTCCCTTCCCTTCCCACCTTAAATTCCCCACAGTTTCATCATCTTGCTTTGTGTGGTACATTTGTTACACTGGTGAACCCATTGTTTATTATCATCAACAAAAGATCCTAGTTTACATGAAACACTCTTTGTGTTACAGCCTTCTATGTTTTCTTCCAAGTGCACAGTAGCATGTGGTCACCATCACAGTAATATCCAGCACAGTTACACGGTCCTAAAAATCCCCTGTGTCTCTCCTACTCACGTCCCTCCCATCTCCCTGGCAGCCACTGCTATCTTTACGGTTTCCATTGTTCACCCTTTGCAGGATGTCCTATAGTTGGAGTCAGGTAGGAGGTAGCCTTTTCATGCTGGCTTCATGCACTTAACAATAGGCACTTAAGTTCCCTCCAACTTGTTCCTTGTTTTGAGACCTCATTGCTTCTCAGTGTTGGATAATATTCCATTGTGTGGCTTTCTTTATCCATTCACCAACTGAAAGACATCTTGATTGCACCTAAGTTTTGGCAATTGTGCTGTAATCGATGGGTGCAGGTTTTTGTGTAGACACAAGTTTTAAATTCCTTTGGGTAACTACAAAGGAGCATAATTGTGGGTCATATGTAGTAGGATCATGTTAGCTCTGTAACAAACTCCTACATTGTCTTCCAAAGTGGCCATGTCTTTTTCCATCCCCACCTGCAATGAATGAGAAATTCCTGTTGTTCTTTGTTCTCCGCAGAATTTGATGACAGCATTTTGAATTTTTGCTATCTAGGAGACTTAGGGTAGCAGCTCTTTGTTTTAATTTGCAGTTCTTAATGATGGGTGGCATCGAGCCTTTTTTCATGTTCTCCGTTGCTATCTCCAGCTTCTTTGATGAAATGTCTATGCAGATCTTTAACTGACTTGTTTTCTTATTGTTCTTGTAAATCATATGTATATAGATTATAACAAGAATATATAGTATTGGCCAGCGCTGCAGCTCACTTGGCTAATCCTCCGCCTTCAGCACCAGCACCCGCCAGTTCTAGTCCCGGTTGGGGCGCCAGATTCTGTCCTGGTTGCTCCTCTTCCAGTCCAGCTCTCTGCTGTGGCCCGGGAGTGCAGTGGAGGATGGCCCAAGTGCTTGGGCCCTGCACCCGCATGCCAGACCAGGAGGAAACATCTGGCTCTTGGCTTCGGATCAGCGCAGCGCGCCAGTCGTAGCAGCCATTTGGGGGGTGAACCAATGGCAAAGGAAGACCTTTCTCTCTGTCTCTCTCTCTGTCTAAATCTGCCTGTCTAAAAAAAATATATATGTATATATAGTAAAGTATTAAATATTAGGAATCTTCAAAAAGTTCGTGGAAATGCATATTACGAAAAGCCTATGCACAGATTTCTAAAATATTTGCCCTCAAACTTACTTTTTAATTCTGTTTCTCATACACTTCTTGAAGTGCCCTTGCAATATTGTATAGATCAGCACTAGCATCTATATTTTATCGTTATTTGCTTATACTGTTAGGGTCTTAAGGCTTATTCTTTGTATATTTATATATTTTACTTTTCCAATTAAATGTGTTGGATCCCCCTGGCACCAAGCCCACCTGGAACACTTGGTGCCCCTAAACTCTACACAAGGCACTTGCCCCCACTCAGACCCCCGCCCCCGACCCCGGGCATCAGTTTCCTCTAGACCCATCCAGGGCTGTTGCTGTCTCCTCCACGCAACCTTCCTGAGTTCTCTTACCCAGCTTAGTCACGGTCTGCGACCTCCAGCATTAATTTGCATCTCATATTATTTTCCCCAGATTGCCTTGTTTGCAATTATATGAGTAGTAATGTAATATCACTTGTACATTGATTAATTAGGGACTAATTTGTTGACCTAATAGTTATTAGTGTATTCTTCAAATTGCTTATCACCATATATTAAACATAGTAGGTTCACAGGATGTTTGTTGACTGAGGCTAAGAAGTAGCTGTTAGAGGGACACTGCTGGGAAGACAGGAAGTCAGAGAGGACAGCGTTACCCACAAGCTCAGGATGTCCTGCAGATGGCTCGAATCTTCAAGGAAGCTTCCTGCTCTCAGTAACCATTCCTATCTGATCCCTTCCTTTTGATATGAATGACATTAAAAATACATATCATATGCCACATATGCTATATTAATATGTATTTGTCATCAATACATAAATTGATTTTATTCCATTTTGTTATATTTCAATATACCTACTGTATTAATACAGTATTCATCATGTATTGATGATACATAATGCTTAAATTATGTTAATGATAATATTTTAGTGGCCATCCGACTCTGCACATTTCAGCATATTACCTGACCTACCTACATAGTCATAAAACTGGTATTTCTGTTTCAAATGGCACCTCATGTTATTATACCTGCCAGAATGGGGGGGGGTCTTCAGACACATTTCATTTTTATAGATCAAATTAGGTATTTTGGTTGGTGTGATTTAACATTTTTAAAGTAAACATCAAATAACTCAGAAGTCTCATGTTTTCTGTTCTATTCCTCTTCATGCCTACCTGGCTCTGTAAAGGAAATACCTTTAACCATCTTTCGCCATTCATATAAAGTAAGTTTTGAAATAGTCAAAAAAATCACTTAAACTGTAGCAGTACACAATTCGATTTGTTTAAGAAAGATTTAGAACAGTTTGACAAAGCACTGTTTGCAGCAAAACTGATACACACATATATTTCTCTTTTTTAACCACTTTAAAATTTTTTTCCTAGTGGTTATGTCTTCATTTGTGAATACTTTTCTTAGCCTTAAATTTTTTAACTGTAAAAATTATTAGTTCCCTACTGTAATCTACCAACACTAAAAGTGACTGAATTTTCACTTGAGATGAAAATTTTGTTTTTGATCTCTCTAGCTGGGATCATTCACCTCTTCAGCCTCTTTTTATTGTTTAAATAGAGGAAGCAAGGAGGAAAGATATAGATGAAATTTACTTTAAGCCTTACACCCGTAAAGCTACATATTTTAATGAAGTTATATAAATGTGGATAAACTGATTGACTTTTAGAAAAATCTGCTTAGGCCTTGTTGATACATTTTCCTTATGCGTAACTGACTTCTGGAAATGCACTAAGAAGCTGAGAAGGGTGAAATGTCTGTGGTTTTCTTAAAGCAGTCATTTGTAACATAGTTAAAAAGTGCAGTGTGATAATTGAACAAGTCTTATTTCTTAGAGCATTCTGTTTCATAGACACAAGGCCATGAAAGGAATAGGAATATTATAAAGCAACCCCTAGAAAACAAAAAATATACTGTACTTATCTAGTTGATTACAAACACACCCAAAAGAATCTCACCTGTGCCAACGTGCTGCCTTCTGTGTTCCCTGCAGACTGGATGACATACTGATTGGGGCGCCTCTCTTTATGGAGCGTGAATTTGAGAGCAACCCCAGAGAAGTCGGGCAGGTCCACCTGTACTTGCAAGTGAGCGCGCTCTTCTTCCGAGACCCGCAGATCCTCACCGGCACCGAGATTTTCGGGAGGTTCGGGAGTGCGGTAGCGCACTTGGGGGACCTCAACCAGGATGGATACAATGGTAACTTAAACTGATGTGGGAAGTCATTTATGTGTCGTAATTCCGTATTACTGTCACCTGAAGGGAACAATGGACATCTTTCTGCATTCACAATGCTGTGTGGGGTACCGTGGTTGTGAGTGACTTTTTTTTTTTTTTTTTTTTGACAGGCAGAGTGGACAGTGAGAGAGAGAGACAGAGAGAAAGGTCTTCCTTTGCCGTTGGTTCACCCTCCAATGGCTGCCACGGCTGGCGCGCTGCAGCCGGCGTACCGCGCTGATCCGATGGCAGGAGCCAGGTGCTTCTCCTGGTCTCCCATGGGGTGCAGGGCCCAAGCTCTTGGGCCATCCTCCACTGCACTCCCTGGCCACAGCAGAGAGCTGGCCTGGAAGGGGGGCAACCAGGACAGAATCTGGCGCCCCGACCGGGACTAGATCCTGGTGTGCCGGCACCGCTAGGTGGAGAATTAGCCTATTGAGCCGCAGCGCCGGCTGTGAGTGACTTTTAATCTCAGGCAACATTAACTCATTATAGGGTGGTTGATTTAGGATGTTCTCAGTAGTGATGACAAATATTTTTAAAATGGATGTTAAGATTTGGGGATGTGAAAGAGCTAGAGAACCTTCTAGAGTCAAGACAAATAAATACACTTTGATATATCGGCACACATAATGCCTTCTGATTAACCACCATACTCAATGCATAAGTTGTGCTGAATTTTCATGTCCATAAAATTGTTTGGAAGGAATTTTACTGTTTGTAATAAAGTAGTATTAAAGTCGTTTAGGCTTGTGGTTCTTTAAGTTAGGTATTCTAACTACGCTCTTCCTAGAAAAACATGCATGTTCCCACAAAATTTTGCATGCATTTTTGGAATCTTTAAGTTAAGAATCAAGATACATTATGTTTCTTGATTCAAGAATTGTTATTTTTTTTGCCCAGAGCAGTCACCTCAGAATAGTGTTCATAGCACCTATGGCAAGTGTTATTGTCTTCACATAATTCCTAAAAAAAATAATTCTTAGCAATGCCTGTTAGTAATTTCTAAAGCACCTTAAAACCTAGGTCCATTAAGTTTACCCTTAACTGACTTGCCACTTTCCCAAACTGCCCCAATGAAATAAATAATACCAAATTCTGTGGACTTGTCTTTTTCATCCTATATTCTTCTATTTGCCTCTTCTCTCAACCCTGAATAACGCAAGTGTTTGGGTCCCTGCCACCCATATGGAAGACCCGGAGGAGCCTCCTGGTTTCGGCCTGGCCCAGCCCTGGCTGTTGTCACCATCTGAGGAATGAACCAGTGGATGGAAGATCTCTCTCTCTCTTTCTCTCTCCCTCTCTCTGTAACTCTTTCAAATAAATAAATAAATAAATTTTGTAGGAAAAAAAAAAGAGCTAAATGAAGGACTTTTAATATCATAAGAGCGGTTTGTAGCCTTGTTAGGCCTGGATATTCCTGAATAGAAAGTAGGTAAAAATCTGAGAATAATCAGAGGATGAATATAAAGTCACTGACTTCATGACCATGAAGAAAATGCTCCTTTCTACTGACTGTGTGGCAATATCTCTACTTTCTACAACAACCTGAGTTTTCAGGTCATTTGTCTTTACCTCTTGGATGAAAGTAGATTCATCATCCTAATGTCCTGAGAGTTGAGTCATCATTTATTCAGTCTGATCCACAGACCTACTACGAACAATGAGAAATAAAGGACAAATGAGAGTACCAACTGTAGTCTACCCTGGGAAGCTCTTAGTGTTTTGTGTTGCTAGAATTCTTCTCCAAATACAATTCAGTGTGAATTTTTCTTATTTAGAACAATCCTGACAATCTAATGTGCAGAAGGTAAATGGTGTTTTTGAATCATCATCAGTTACTATGGGTCTGAATTCGTCACCAGGTATCCTCAACTCAACCAGAAAGTGGGTCTTGCATAGCTGATAAGACTAGGTACTCATGAAAGGACAGCACGTTTTCTTTTCTTTTTTTTTATTCCTTTTTTGAAAACAAGAAACTCCCAGGTCCCCTACAAAGGTCCCTCACTGATCTACCTACTGATCTACCTACAAAGGTCCCTCTACTGATCTAAGCTTTGAAGTGACTCTTCCCGGCACTGAGTTCCCATTTGCATTGTCCTCCGGCTGTTGACTGTTCTTTAACTAGACCACACTCCTTCCACCTTTGGGCCTTTGCTGCCCTCACTTCTGGGCTTCACATGGTTGGTTCCTTCTTGTCCCTAGATTTCAATTTAAATGGCAGTCACTTTGCCTTTCTACTTCATACAAAAAAAAAATCTGTCATACCAACATTTTTAAGATTCTGTACATAGCATTTATTGCTTGATGCCTTCTTGATTTTTTCCTCTACTCAAATGATCTATTACCTGCACTAGAATATATACTTCTAAAAGTAGGAGTTCTGAGTTTCTGATTCACTGTTGTACACACTGCACCAGGCATGTGGTAGGTACTCAGTATGTACTCATTGGCTGGAAAAGAAGACAACAAATAATTTAGTGTTGCTGTAGAACTCAAGAATTTTCATGGAAAAACATAAGAACTTTGTTCTTTATGATATTTTTTATTTCAAAAACATTCTTCTTTATTTTTTTAAAAAAGTGCGTTTATCTGTCTCTGTTTGTAGACATTGCCATCGGTGTGCCTTTTGCCGGCAAGGACCAAAGAGGCAAAGTGCTGATTTACAATGGGAACAAGGAAGGCTTAAACACCAAGCCTTCCCAAACTCTGCAAGGAGTATGGGCCTCGCAGGCTATCCCTTCAGGATTTGGCTTTTCTTTACGTGGTGATTCAGACATAGACAAAAATGATTACCCAGGTAAGTTTCCTTTCTTTCCCCACAGGACAGTCCACTTCCTAGAAAAAGTCCATTCTCTGGAAAATGCATCTTGCCTACACAGTTCTCTACTGAGACCAAGGCTAAGCTTGAATGTGGCACGGGGGACTGGGGTTTCTGGTATGATTCCTTCATATAATTTGAAGGAAGACAAAACAAACACACCCTTTCTTGTGAAGAGACAATATTAGTAAAGTAGGATGACTTCCAACAATATTAGCAAAGGAAGCTGGCTCCCAATAATATTAGCAAAGTAAGATGGCTTCCAAAGCTGCCTTGGACATAAAATTTGTCAACTTTGCAGCCCAGATTTTCATTGGAAACCCCTTAGTAGTTTGGTCTCCATTAACAAAGAAAGCTTGCATCAGACCCTTGTCTAAGGCAATTCATCTGTAATTCCCTGTTGAGCTCATAGTTCCCATTAATTAATGTCTGAGCCTCAACATTTTTGTCATAAAGCTCATGTTTTAGAACATACATATTTCCAGTCACATTCTGGGGTTTTTCAAAGATAGACAGGATATTTTTAAGTGGAGAAAAAAGAATGGGTTCATGATCTGAATCATAAACTATTCTTGATTGCTTAATTCATGTTGAGAATGCATGAAGATCCATAAAGAAAAGATAGATAGTTCATGCTTTCTGCATGCTATATGGAAACAGGAATTTGCCTTAAAGGATTATTTCAGCAATCAGGGCTTTTAGTGGAGAACATTAGCCTTCTTAGTTTTATGGTTCAATTTTCACTTTTATGTTGGTGATTCCAAGATGAATTTAATAAATACTTAGAAGTCATTAATAGATAACTGACAGTTTCAACTCTTTATTAAAACCTTGTCTCTTTCTACCAGCTCCTCCCTAATTGGGAAGTTTCCATATGTAGAACTTTCGCTGGTTTGGGGCAACTGTCCAATAACCTGACTGCCTAAATATACATCATTAATTTCAATCCATTGGCTTTCTCTTCTCCTCTGGGTTTAAGCCAAAGAATACCAAAACATATTCTTCTAACTATGCCAGAAACCTTTCATGGCGCTAACACAGACATCAGAGGGGACTTAAATCAGCTGTGGTACTGTAGAGTATACTAATGCTTTCTACCTGCAGCAGTTTTAAGAGCATTTGAATAAATTTATTTTCTTAAATAATTTTAAAGTAGCCTAATCAATGATGGCTAGTTGATTATTGGGGGGGAGGGTCTTATACATAATATATCCTAATTTTAAATAAATTAAAGATCTAGGCTCTTTATGTGACTCCTACCCCCAAAATATGCTAGAGTGATTAATGAAACTCAACTTTTGGGTTGCACATTTAGATAAACAGTGAATTCAGAAAGTTATTGCTATTCATCATGCTTGTCATAGGCTTCCTTTTCCCACTCTAAGTACCAGGGAGCTTGACAGACCCAATGATTGTGCCTTTCAGAAGACCAAGAAAGTAAAGGTTGCAGCAATCACATAGCCAGTCTATTGACCTCCTGTGTAGGTAAAAATGTCCCAGATAAGAGTAATATAAAACAACTTCTCTCAAGGAATGTGAGAGTACTTCAAAATTAGAAGACAATGGAATTAAAAGATGTTTATATTGTTGCCAAAAATTACTGAAATCTGTACCTGAGGGGTGTTCAAAAACTACATGAAATGAGTATTATGGAAAAAAAAAAAAACTATGCATGGCTTTAACCTTTTTTGCACCAAAATAAACTAATCTTTCCATCCCATTTTTTCCTAATCTTTTTGAAGTATCCTTTTATTCCCTTTATGGAGGAATAAAAGAAGGAAGACAAGGAAGAAAAGCTAAAACAAGTTCAATGTTACTAATCGATCATGTGTCAATTATATCTTATTCATCCCCATTTTTATAATATGAAAAAGTTAATTTGAGGCCATGTACTAATCAATTTTATTTGCTGAGACTGATCCAATTTATAGTAATCAATCACATTAATACAGTGTACCCATCTGTCTCTAAATGTTCTGACTAAGGCAGGACTATTAATGGGACTTAGTTGAATTCCTATTCTTGAAGAGAGTCTTGAGGCCTTTTAGTAGACCTGAGTTCTGTTCCCAAGTCTGCCTCTCAAACAGGAATATAGATATGTAGTGATTCATGGTCCTATAATATTTTTCCCTGATCCCCACTTCTTGCAAAAAGAATGCCATGCAAAGAATTTTGCATTTTGACACCAACACCTGGGCTCTATGGAGAAAACTGCTTTATAGGCAGATGACTAGTCTCTTACCCAGAAGACCAGATTTGAAGTTTGTAGGCATAGTTCAACAATCAGACATGCAACATTGCTCATTTTTTTCTGTATATGAATTCCACTTTGCTCTCAACCCTCCATTTCTACCATGATGGGAAACTTTAATCTAGCAATCACTTCTAGATGCAGACTTAGCCTCATTTGAGTGAATAAGTAAATATTCATCGTATTCAAGACTCTTCCTCCTCCTTCTGCGGCCATTTTCCAAGCAGTGGAGCAGAGGGGAGTACACCTGGTATCCAGGGGTCAGAAGGGAACAGGTAGCTCAAGTGTGTCCTGTGTTAATATTGGCCTCTGGCTGCTGAGTGACTTGGTCATAGAGGTGTTGCTCGAGCTTCTGTGGCTAATCCCATAGTTCCAAGTAGTGACCTCTACTCAGAAGTTCCCTGTGTGCCAGGCCTCCCTTTTCCTGTCGTAGCCTTCTCTGGCCCACCTTTAGCAAGTGCCCCCGGGCAACTGTTGGGACTCAGATACTTACAGGCTGGGGTCTTCAGGTTTCTGGGAGACTGTCAGGCTCCTCCACCTGGATCCTGCAGTCGTTTCTAGTTGTCACTCAGGCATCTGGTTCTAGCACATAACAGGGTTGCCATCTTCTGAGGCTTTGCCTGAGCGGTGGAGAAAGCCCTCGTTTTCCCCGAGGATAACTGAGTAGCCTGCTTGCTTTGCAGACCCAGCTTCATTTTATAAACTCTATGCGCTAGTCCTCTGTGGTTTGTCTTGTGATTTCCCAACCCAGTCCTTTTTGGAACTTAAGAAGAAAAATAATTTTCTTTCTTTCACATCAAAAGACATTTGCCTTCAGATTCTAAGGCCTTCTTGAGTTTCAAAACCCATTCGACAATTGGCTTCTTCCTTGTAGGACGTCATCCTTAATCAGCACCCGTTCTCAACCTTGGCTGCACATTAAAATCACCTGGGGAGATTGAAAAATTCCCCATGCTCAGGTCCAGTTCAATCAGACGAATGCAGTCGGAATCTCTGGGCATGGACTCTGACTACAGGGGTTTGTTAAAGTGACAGGGTGATTCCAGTCGCCTGCAACCACGTTGGGAACTCGTCCCCCAGAACTGTCTTCCCCACCTTCCTGTGCATTCAGATCGCCGGGCCATCTTTTGAAAGCAAAGCTCCTGATCCAGGCAGCCAGGTGCATGGGGCAGGATGCCTTTTTTCCAACAAGCTTCCAGGTGCTGCTAGTGTAGTGTTCACAACGCACCCTGCAATGAGTTTGAGAATCAGGAGCAATGGTTCTGAAACTGCGTGTACATGCCAGTCACCTGCTGAGCTTGATGCTGAAGTGGAACACATGGCAATCCTCCAAGATGTTATGACCAGCTCTGGGATGGGACTCAGGTATCTGGGATTTTACCCAGGGCCCTGCTTTGGGGAACACTACCTGGGTCTTTGGGGCTCCCACATCTACAGCAATCAGATGTGCATTTTACTTTTTCGGCAAAAATCTTTTAGATAAGCGGAGACATTTCTTTTACCCTTTACCAGGGTATCACACTGACTGGCATCACTCTCTTCTCCAGGTGGCCATTGTGGTGCTTGGGCACACCACATGCAGTGGTCTCATCTGGGGAAACTAAGGAAAGCCCAGTGGAAAATGTTGAATTTTCATGCATTTCCTGAAGGTCACTTGTGTGTTTAAAGATGCCTTATGGTGGCGGGCAGAGTTTGGCCTAATGAGACAGCACTTGGGATACCCACATTCCATAGCAGAGAGACTGGGTTTGAGTCCTAGGTCCACTCCCCATTGCAGCTCCCTGCCAATTCCCACCCTGGGAACAGCAGATGGTGGCTCAGATTCTTGAGTTCCTGTCCCCCAGATTGAGCTGTCAGCTCCAGTTCCCAGCTTCCAGCTACAGCTTGGACCAGCCCCAGCTATTGCAGGCATCCGGGGAGTGAACCAGAAGATGGGAGACTGCTTTCTGTCTTATTCTCTCAAATATTTAAGACGATCAATAACTGACTTTCATTTAAAATACATCAGCACATTTGTTAAGAATTAACCTAACCTGAAGCATGAAGAGAGTTTTCATAATCAGCTTACAGGAATATCTCAAGGGAACCCAAGGGCAGGCACTCTTCAGTCTCTGGAAGAGGCTGGGACCTGAGATTGTCAGAATCAACCTTTCTCTCCCCTCCCCGCTTTCTCTGAGCATGTGGTGGACTTTCTGCCTCATAGCTCCAGGATTTACATAATGCAGTTGTGGTGAGTGTGTCCTATTAGATCCCCACTATGGCCACCCTGTAAGAGGAAATAGCGATCACAGTTTTAAAGAAGGAGGAAAATCATTTAAGGGAAAATGTAGCTTTATTTTAAAAACAAAATACTAAAAATGAACCTAAATTTGCTCAGTCCAAGCGAATCTAAATTTTCTTGGTCTTTGAGTAGCAAGATCTACAAAACAGGAATAAGACCTTCCTTCATTTAGTCAAAAAGCATGCATTAACTTCTCCTAAGTAATAAAAATTGTGCGGGAGGCTGGGGATTTGGTGGTGAACAAGGTGGACAAGCCACCTCCTCCACAGAGCCACATTCTAGGTGAGAAAGACAGTTAAGGCGAAATGACAGCAAAGTGTGAGTGTTGCCTCATTCGATAAAGTAGAGCTTGCTGTGTTGGCCAGCAGGAAGGAAGCCCATTCCTGTCTGTGGAAGACCTCTAAGCTGACCTTGTACACAACTGAGAAGCCTATAACTGTAGGGTGG